CGTGCTGTCTCAGTTCCCCCCTCCTCTGGTCAAATGTAAACAAACAAACATTAAATGAAATATTTCTTTTAAAAAAAAAAAGTTGCATTTGTGTGCATTCCCAAAATCCTGAAAGGAGAATGGAGAAGGGATTGGAGTGTGGCTGTCTCCTGGCTGGGGGTGGGGGAGGTGGTGTGTGCTTGCTTACTTTCCATCTCTCCTATCCTTCACTCCCTACCCCCACCACATGTACCTTGTGGCAAATTTTTTAAAAAAAAAAGAAAAAATGAGTAATCACCTGAAGGCAGTAATTAGTGTGCTGGGACTCTGAATCCCTACTGACCTGTACCCAGTCAGGTAAGAGTGTGAACATTTGGTTAGAAATCTTTCCCCAAAAAAATAGTGGTACCTTGAAGGATCTTGTGACTTGCTGGCTTTAACTGCAGTAATGCCCACCTTTTTTTTTTTTTTTTTTTTGTAGTTTTTACTAACTAGTGCCCATGTTCTTGCTGGAGAAAGACAGAAGGAGAGAGAGAGGGAAAGTGAGAAACCACCCTCTAGGGGCATGGCCGTGCCACAGTCCCTTCTCCATCCTCCTCGCCCAGCGTGATTCTTAAGCTGCTGGGTCTGGGCCTTAAAGCATGGATCTGCCATGTGGTGTCTGGCCACCTTAGCCTCCACACCACCTACCACCTGCTGGTCCAAATAATGCCAAAGCTTTGTGGCCAGTGTGTATAGGAATGCCATGTGGGCACTGAGAAAGTGCTGGCAGAGAACATGGACCAGCTAATAGCACTGCGTTACACTGCCGTGTGCTAAGGAGGGTTTGGCGCTGCTCACTCCACGTTGCTACGCTGGAGAAGCGGATTTCCTCAGGAAAGGCTGCAGAGCTGGTTGGGCCGCAGCGTAAGCACGTGCTGTTGCATCATCAGAAACCCAGTGAAGTACATCTGGTAAGAGGATCACCCAACTAACCCCGCGCTGCTCACTCCACGTTGCTACGCTGGAGAAGCGGATTTCCTCAGGAAAGGCTGCAGAGCTGGTTGGGCCGCAGCGTAAGCACGTGCTGTTGCATCATCAGAAACCCAGTTAAGTACATCCTGTAAGGATCACCCAACTGACTAACCACCCCCCCACCACGGCAACCCAGCTTTTACTCTGGGGGGGGTAGAGTGTGTGCTTCTCTCTGAAAACAAAGGGGACAAACAGCCTAGCAGGTGTGGGACCAGGGTTGATCCCACACCTGATCCCTTTTGGAATAAAATGTTCAATTACAACGAACCGATCCCTGCTTTTCCCCTTTTCCCTCGGGGCTGGTTATTCACTGTAAGGATAGGGCACGCACAAGGAGCTCTGGCCATCAGGAGACAGTGGGCTGCAGTCAGGGCCGCCTGATTCTCAGTCCCATCTCTGCTGTTTGCCTGGCTGTGTCTTTGGGCGAGCTACTTTTTCTGAGCCTCATTTTCCCCACGGGGTAATCATTCTGCTTTATTAAGGATATCTGAAGGCTAAATGAGATTTAAGTATGTGTGCTCTTTTTTTTTTTTTTTTTAAATAGGCTTTTGCCATAGGGTGACTTGGCTCACCAGAGAAACACAGTAAGAGGGAAAGTGAGAAATCACCCTCGGGGGTAGGGGAGCATAGCCATGCCAGCCCTTGTCTATTATCTTGGGATTTGGGGCACACACGTACCATGTGCCTGGCATGGTTTCCAAGCCATCAGGTCCAGGACTTGAACCCTGGTCAGCCATGTGGGAGTCCAGCACCTTAACCACCACGCCAGCTGCTGGCATGTATGCCTGTATATATGTATTCTCAGCGCACATGTGCCCAGTCTACGTGAGCACTCCGAAATTGTCAGCCGTCACTGGAAGGAGTCAAAGCCATCTATGGGAGAAGTACAGCAGGGTCTCGCACAGCAGGGCACATCACCTCCATCATCTGCACCCCTCTGCACCCCGGCGCTGTCTGATGGCTGTGGTCTCTGGAGGAATGCGCTGTGCCCTCCTCTCCCTGCCCCACCTGGAGGGAGGAGGTTCTGCCTAACTGGTGGATGACACACCGCAGGACTTTATGCACCTGTCATTGTCACAGAAGGACTCCACACACGTAGTCTTACAGGATATTTATTCAGACCCAGTCATGCATACAAGAATTACGTATTTTCACCACTTTGACTTAGAAAATGCACTATAAAAATAAACTTTTGGTCAAAACAAACACTGAAGTAGATGAACCCCCCACCATCATGTGTCCCTATACACAAAACCAAACTGAATTTCAGTTTGAAGCAAGGAATGTGACCAGTGGCTGAAATGGTGCCCCATGCTGGCCAGAAAATTAGCCCACACCCTGCCCCATCAGAGAGGTATTGGGGTTCTTGGCCATGGAGTTTTTCCAGGATTTCTCTCATAACAGGTTCCTACTTGATGTGCCAAGAGTCCCCGGCACAGCCACAGGAATCCACGGCCGGTGACAATGTACTGCCTGACTACACAGCTGCCCCGTGGGGTCAAAGACAAGCAGCTACGTGGAAAATAGTGAACTCGCTCTCCTCTCCACCCATGGCCACACAGGGACTGCCCATCGAGCAGGCTGCAGTTAAGGAGAAACAGTGACTCTGATGTTTGGTACTCGCATCTCAAGGAAACCACTTCTCAGGAGAGCAGAAGGGAATTGCCTTCTGCCTACAGTTAGCAGGTCCCGATCCCAAGGTGGTTGCCAGACTGACATCTTTTCTCAATAGTCAGAACATCTGTTTGATGTCTCCTCACCTCTCATGGGCACAGAACAGCCACCCTAAATAAAAGAAGTTTCAAAGAAAACCTTAAGCTGTAAAGTTTGAAATGAAGTCTTATAATAATACACCAACAGGACATGGCATTTGCTACCCAGATGAAAGCTGCCACAACTGAGAAGGAAATGGCATTTAAAGAAACGGCCCACCCAGGGAGAATTCTGAAAGGCTCCACAGCTCACAGGAATTAGGGGGAAATGCCCCGTATAGCCCTGCCTCTTTCTGGAAAAGCGGTATCTTGTAACCAGAAGTGTTTATAGACCTAGGACAAGCGACTCCTTGTGAAAACAGGATGGAGTCTGATGGATCTAAAACTTTTGGCAAGGTAAGCAAGAAACTCAGGCTGTGAAGCCAGGGTGGCATCCAGCCTCTCTCCCATGTTGGTTGAATAGGATTCTAGGAGGAGGCATGATTTCCAGAATTCTGTGTAGAGGAATAGGGGAGGAAAAGGAAACCTCCCACATACTGAAGCTTACAGGTCCACTAGGAAGCTTTAGGCACCAATTCATTAAGACTTAAATTTCCTAAATAATAACCCAGATTGGGGGCGTGGGGGCTGGCAGAAAAGCCTTAAACAGAATATAGTGGGGCCAGCCTATGGCCTAGTGGTTAAGGGGGCCGCATCCCATATGGCTGACCACAGTTCACATCCTGGTCTTAACAGCTTGAAAAACACTGGGCTTGTGTGTGGGGGCACACCCCAAATCCTGGCAGGATGGAGAACTGGAGAAGGGATTGCAGTGTGATTCCCCTTTGGAGGGTTCTTTCTCCTCCTCTCATTTTTTCTGGCAATTAAAAATAAAAACGAACCCAGCGCAGTGTCCCGTAGCAGTAGAGCCGAGCAGATCCCAGAAGCAGAGGGTTCAGTCAGAGCCTTTTATCATACAGGGATTTGGGGGGTGGGGTGGGGGGAGGCTCATCCACAGCCACCTAGCAAGGCGAAGGTGGAACTCAGGTCTCCTAAGACACTATCCCTTTTCCTCCTGATAGCATGCTCCCCTGAATTTAGGGAAAGGCTCACTTCCAGGTTTGTAATGGACCAGAATTTTTCTCTGAAGGAAAACACTCCCCAGGCTCACTGGCCTGTGGCAGCAGCACGCTCCCCTACGGAGGAAGGGCACTGGGTACTCCCGCTGGTCCTTCACCCCGCTGGGGTGAGGTTCTGAGACACCCTGGCAAAGCACACGGAAACTCCTTGTTTTCGCCCAGGGAGGTCCTGCTTTCACAGCTCAGTTCAGACCTCCGTCTGGAATGAGAACAAAGCGCAGCAGCTGCAGGGGGCGGGCTGACCAAAGCTTGCTTCCTTTGAGAAGCTGAAGGAAACAGCTCCTTTTTGGTCCAACTGGGAAGGCCTGGAAATGGCAACATCTTTCCTGGCCTCCCATAGCTAGCTAGCTCTGCAGGTGAGCATGGCCATGTGGTCTCTGTGGAGTCCTGCAGACAGAGGTGGCCAGCCAGGAAGGCAGTGCGGAACCTGAGCCTCAGCAGCTGGGTGGGCCGCTCTGTTCCGTATTCTGTTTTCTCTCTCGTCCCTGTCCCTCTCGGGGCCTAAGCAAGCTTCTAAGCAATTGTCCAGGCTGTTAGGTCCTGAGCCCTGGACTCCAGCCTTCGCTCTTGCCCCACTTAGGCCTTCTCAGCAATGCTGGTCACATCATCGTCAGATGGATGATGGCAGTCAGGGGTGTGCATTTTGGCACTGCCAGTTCAGTGAGGACCCTGGAGGATCCAGGGCAAGTTCTTATGGTTAAAACAAAAACAAAACTTGTACACGAATTGGCATTAATGAAGTAAGTAAATTAATTTCGACCCACTTCCCCAGACATTTTTAAAAGTGCTATAAAAACAAACAGCTTAGTAGCAACAGATTGGCCTCTGAATTCAGAGCACTGTTCCGTCCTTAACCCAGCTGTGCACCTTACCTGCTCAGTCTAGTAAATGTGTGGAGGAGGCAGGCGTCCAGCTCGCAACTTGTCACTCTTCAACACCAACACCACGTGGAACAAATATGAAAGGGAGTGGGTCGAAAGCCATCCAATGAACCACCTACTTTGATACTTGAGCTAAGGCTAAATTATTGATGTGGAGGGTTTAAAGTACCCAAATACAGAACTCTCATCTAGGCTGGCTCGTCTAACCACACCAGAGAGAAAAACTCAAGTGGGTCTGGGAGGGTGGGGGCCCCAGAAGCAACCCAGCAATAACCTGCCCTTGTTCATTTCCAAGGACTAAAATGTAAGAATCCCAAGTAATATAAGCACTGTAGCCAGTTTATAATACCATACCAGAGTCTCAGGGAGGGAAACAATTCATGCAAGATCCTGGTCACCTCACCTGGCCTCACAAAAGCCACCCTTTAAAGGTTTTTTCCAAAGGTGTGTGAACTTGCCAGAGAGAGAGAGACAAAATCAGAAGGAAAATGAGGAATCCCCCCACCCCCCCCGCGAGGGGGAATGGCCATGCCACAATCCTTCTCCATCAATCCCTTCCGGGGAATGGCCATGCCACAATCCTTCTCCATTAATCCCCTCCCGGGATCTTGGGCATGCATGCATACATACCCGGTGTGAGTTTCAAGCCATTGGGTCCAGGACTTGAACCATGGTTGGCCATGTGGAAATTTAGCAATGTAACCACTATGCCATCTGTTGGCCCCTAAAGCCCCCTTTAATGGAAGCCAGTATCACAGAAACCAGGGAACAGACATACTCATTTCTTGAATGACAGGACCGAATGGAAAGACTCATGTCTACCGCAAAGAAATAAGATTCAATTACCTGTCTCTACAGTCATCTTTCTAGGCAGGAAACCTAACATTGTAGCTAAACCAAACCCCGAACCCCTGTAGCCAAAAGGGCCCTAGACATGATTTCATCCAGTCTCATTTTAGAGAAGAGAAGGCTGAGGCCCACAGAGGCCCACATCTCATCCACAGTCACACACCTGGAGCCCACATCTCTGATTCCTCAGCCAGAATTCGTTTAGCTACACAGGGCTGAAATCTAGTATTTCACGTTGAGTAAAATCACACTCTTGTAGGATTCTGTTAAAAATCAGGGCTAAGGCTTCATGGGGTTGGGAAAACTTAATTTCTATTGCAATATTCAACCAATGAATCCCAGGGGTGCTTTGAAGTCTGGCTTCCAGATCTGACCAGGATGCTTACATGATTTAGTTAAGGGGATTCTCAAACCCAGTGACGGCAACTGGGGCGTAGGTCTCAGACGTGAAGTTTCCCGATGAGCAACAGACACAAACCCTGTAGTTAGGGTTCGCGTGACAGACACAAACTCCCCAAGTTTCTGTTTGGCCACCTTATAGGTTTGACCAAACTGTTCAACAGGCGAGGTCTGTGGCCTGGCCAATCAGGTTGTTTTCTCCCAGGACGAGGGATCACTGTGACTGTGGTCCTGATTCTGATTTTTTCTTGCTTTCAAGATGCATTCAGAACCAGACACAGCTCCCAGGTCCATTAGTTGCCAACTGGGATTCTAAACATTGGGAATCACTGGATATTTTCCACGTCTTCCATGTGTGAATTCAATAACCAAAGGCTTACCCCCCGAGGGCTCAGCCGCAAAGCTCTACAGGCTGTTCCTTTGTGTTGTTTAATTACAGAATGAAGCTGAATCCTTGCCATCTTAAGTTGTCCTTGTGCCTCTCCAAAGAAAACAGGACAGGACTGCAGGACGATGACACAGAGGCCTGACTAATAGCAGGCGTACAGCTGAGACTTCATGGCTCGCATGGAGTCATCACACTGGGCATCCGAGGTCAGTCCCTCCGGCAGCAGCGCCTGGCCTAGCACGCTGTCACAGGTGGGTTGGGGTTGGCAGAACTCCTTCACAAAGTCGTCCTCTGAGGCCAGCAGCACCGCGCTCCAGGTGGCAGTGTCCAGCTCGCCGGCCGTGCCCCCGTACTCCTTGGGGAGAATGCTTCTTGGAAGGTTTGTGTGGAGAGAGTTCAGGTCAGACCCATGGAGGAAGAACTAAGGGGGAGGGATGGAAGAAAAACACGTGTGTCCTTGGGTTAATCAGTGGAGTCAGCCCCCCATCACATTTCAATCAGTGGTTCTGGTAAAGGTTAAAAAAAGTTTTTCTTTTGGGTCATAAAGGAAGATCATCTTTTTTTTAAAAAAAAATAATATACCAAAGGGCAAATGTGTTTACTGGAGATAAGAGAGAGACAAAGAGAGAAAAAGTGAGAAAGCACTTCCCATGGGGAATGGTCATGCTGCAATCACCTCCCCTCCATTTCTTCCTCCTTTTGGGACTGCATATGCATGCATATGTGCCCGGTGAGTTTCTTAAGCCACCGGGTCCAGGACTTGAACTGAACACTTGGCCATGTGGGATCCAGCTGCCTTAACCACCATGCCATGGGCTGGCCCAAAGGCTCTTTGAAAGAGTCATCTATTCCTTCTTAGATATGAGTTAAGCTGAAAACTGATACATCTCATAAGCATGGAGTTGTTCCAAAAACTATACCATGAGACATTAAGTGTAAGTAAAAAGGATTAAACAGCACTTTAAAACCCCAATGGTCTGTAAAAAGAAATAACCCTTTTTAACTACCTTCCCTGTGGCTCTCACCCTTCCTCTTTTCCAGAGAGGGAAAGTGAGAAATCATTCCCAAGAGAGGGTGGCCATGCTGCAGTCCCTTCTCCTCCATTTTGTTCTTAGGATTTGGGGCACACCCACATACACACCCGGTGTGTTTTTCAAATTGCTGGGTCTGAGACTCAAACCGCATCATTGGCTATGTGGGATCCACTGGGCAACTAGCTGGCCCTGCATAGCCTCTTCTACATAAAGTACAGTGTTGGTTCATAGTACTCAAGGCAGAAGACAAGAAAGTCTAAAGGATTACAGCAAAGGGAGGCACTTGGGATAAAAGTCCTGGCTTGGCTCTCCTGGCACTTACTACATTCTTATTTTCATCTGCCCATCACCAAAAAGACCGTTCAAATCTGTAACCCTGGATTTTCCAAATTAGTAGTCCCAGGACAAAAATAACAAATTAAGATTAAGTACTAGATATCATAAGTTAAATACAAGGGAAGATAAAAATCGTCTGTGAAGGATGAGGACTGCAACTTACCCTGTTTGCTATTTTCTCCTTCAGAAATGGTTTTATGATGGCAAAAATGCCTTTAAATATCCGCGGTTCATTCACTACATGGACTGCTTTTATCCGAATGGGGAAACCATCCTGCGGGGTGGGGAGGAGGGGTGTTAGAACATCTGGAGTATCTACTCCTTTCCATAGCCTGCCTCCCCCAAGGAACCTTCTTCCCCTGGAGCCCCAGTGTTGGTCTGGACTGTCTCGTGGCCTCCTTCCCAAGTAGGGGGCTAAACAGGAAGACAAGCCTTGGGGAACAGTCTCTCCTGGGACTCAAAACTGGGTTAGAAGAGAGTTAGCAAAACAAATGAGAGTGTTCCTTTTCTAGTAAAAAGACCATCTGCGTCTATGTGGATGGGGCTGACCTACATCACCTCTGGATTGGTGTAGTTGAAGCATATTTCTCAGTATGTTATCAGAAGTGCAGCAAAAAAGAGTTTTATGGCAAGTAACTGAGTTTGAGAAATAACAGTAGATTCAATATAGTCACGTGGGTTTCCTTAACTGCAATCCTGTTCAGAGCCTTTACTAGGTAAATGTTTCCAGTGAAACTTACAAGAGAGGATGTGCTTTATTACATTTCTCAAACTTATTTAACCCGGGAACTCTTTTTTATTTTTTTTCCCCTCCAGATGATCTTAACAGCACTTGGGAAACACTGATCCAGACTATCCTGGTACTTCTGTCCCCAAGGGATCCAGCAGGAGGCATCAAGGTAGTGGAGGCTAAGGAGAGCTCCAAGCCAGAATTCAAATGCATGATACTGTCCCAACGGGGCACCGACTTGTTTAAATAATAAGCCAGGTGCACAGGAGGGGCTCTGACACATCTGTGAAATTCACGGAGGAGAACGGGTGTCTCTCCAGTGTCCCAGGCAGTGGTCGGAGTGAACAAGGAATTGAAACTTGCAATAGCTGAAACTCTGGCTGAACCACACCTCCGCTGAGTCTCCGTGTCCTCCCCTGCTTAGCTCTGAGGGTTCACTGAGGACCGAATGGATTAAGATGACTATAAAAGCACTTTGCAACCTGTTCAGCGCCACACAGATATGGAAGGAACTTTACGGTTCCCAGTGGCTTGTGTCCTGAAACGCAAAACGTGAGGCGTGAAGCATCTGACCAAAATATGGTCCCACAGAACTCCACGTCCCCAGCTCCACAGAGGGCAGGAGAGGCTTCTGCACCGCTCCATTTTCTCTGTGGGGAGAATTCCTCCTCTGTCTTCTGGAAAAGAAAGAAGTGGAAAGTACTTCCCTGGATTTGGGACTCATGCCCTAGTAACTGGTTTTGCCTGGACTGAAAGTACCTTCTTTAGAAACTTCTTGAGACCCTGATGAGAACAAATGGTAAATATCAACGGATAGAATTTTTTTTTTTTTTTTTAATTTGCCAGAGAGCGTGTGTTCTTGCCAGAGGGATAGAGAAGTGGGAGGAGAAAGCATACCCCACTGGGGCATGGTGACACCGCAATCTCTTCTCCTTCATCTCCCCCTTCTGTCCGGATTTTGAATACGCATACACACACACCCAGCATGTTTTTCATGCTGTCAGGGCTGGGATCTGAACCACATGATCAGGTCAGCCATATGGAATCCAACTTCCTTAACCACTAGGCCACAGGGCCGGCTCAGTAAATAGGACTTCTCAATTTTTTCCCATCATGCTCTTGTATTTTTTCCAACTGCAGGAGTGGGAAGTGGGGTGCATGGATCATAAGAGACCTGCCATAAATGGACAACAGGGACCTGGGAAGCCAGAGGCAATAAAGAACAAGCACATGACAAGCACATACCTGGAGGATGCCAATCACTTTTTTGGCAATAAAAGGGCCAAAATGAGATGCCTTTGATAAGCTCACTCCTTTGTAGTCCGCAAGAATTACAATTCCATTCACCTGGGTTTCTTCAGACTGAATGAGTTTTTCTAACGTCAAGTAGATGGCCCGGATGTTCTCGGTGATTGGGTAGTTGCTTGGTATCCATCTGTCTAAGGTCACAGAGATGGAGCCGGGTTACAGAAATGCATACGAACAAGTGCTCAAAGATGGATCTCCCTTCTACAACGGTTCTTTCGAAGTGGAAAAGAAAACTATGCTGGAGGGAAGATTCACTTTCTAGGTCAGTAAATGGCACACTTCAAGCAGCAGCTGCCGTTTCTTAACACCAACCATAGCAGCACATTCTGGAATGGAAATGCAACTGAACGTCGAGGTTAAAAGCATGAACTCCACGTCAGACACACCTGGGGGTTGACTCTTACTTGCCTGGGCAAGTTCCTTCCTCATGCTGAGCTCCCGTCCCCTAAGCAGAATAGGAAAAGAATACCTACCTTCACAGATATCTGTTTTCTGCCATCAGATATTCCCCCTTCTTTACTTTTTCTTAACTATATTTGCTTGCTTATTTATCTTTAATTTGACCAGAGGGGAACAGAGAATAAGCAAGAGAGAAAGCAAGAAAGCAAACAGGCAGATCTGGGACTCGAATCGTAGTCACCCATATGGGAGTCCAGTGCCCTTAACCACCACACCAACTGCCACCACCGCCACTTCTTCCCCCCGCTGTCTTTATTTTCATAACACCTTGAGGATACTTTCCTTAGGTATCCACTTCCTCCCACACTGGCCATGCAGTGTAGACAGAAGTGACCTGACTCCTGACTTGCAGATGGGCTGGAGGGTTGACTGGCCAACCTTACAGCCTTTCAGCTACAGAGGGTGATCGAAGCAGGCCAAGCGAGGCCAAGGAGACTCAATTCTGGGACCTTGTCTCTTTGGAAAGAGAAGCTCTCTCCTCTCTTTGGAGTAGTGAGGCTGTGAGCCTGAGCTTCAGGGACCCTTTGAGACAAGAACTGGACTGAGAACAAAGCCCCTGCTGAGCATGGCAGAGGCAGAGACACCTGCTAATGCTGAGCTTGAGCCCTGAATCCAGCTGCGCCCAGACTGCAGTCCTCTGAGCAGGTGATTTCTGTTAACATTCTGTTAACATTCTCCCATATACTTAATAATTCTGCCCTCTCTTTGGAAAAAGATGAAAACTGACAATTTTTGACTATTAACTACTCTTCTCAAGAAAATTTCCACCAAGATTTGTGTGTCTCTTTCTTAGAAGGATAAAATTTCACACGTAGGGGCCAGCAGGTGGTGTGGTGGTGAAGGGGCTGGATCCCACATGACCCACTCCATGGTTCTTGTTCTGGACCACACTTGAAAAACATGCCAGGCGCGTATATGTGGGTGCTCAAAAGCCCGAGAGGAGACTGGAGGAGAAGGATTGTAGCAAGGTCATCTGCCCTGAAGGGTCATTTCTCACTTTCTCTCTCTCTGGTGAGTGCATGTACTCTATGGCAAAACAAAAACAAACAAACTAAAGAAATGTAAAAGCCATATTTGCCACAATGGGATAGTACTTTGGGTGGAATGCCTATGAAAAATTCTGTCCAAAAATCGTGCCAGCTTGCTGTTTGCTCTTGCTGCTGCTGACCCCTGCCTCTCCATAACTGCATGCCATCTGTCACAGATGTCTCAAAAGAGCTTTAAAGCAGGTGAAGCTGGTATCCAGTTGAGAACCAAACTTGGGTATGCCCACTCCAAAAAGCTGGATCATTTCTGGAGAGGTCCAGATCTGTTCTAGACATAGAGGAGAATTCAAAAGTTCATGAAAAAAAAAAAAAAAAAGAATGAAAAGTATGAGTTTATTTTTTATAGAAGCCGCTCTACAGAGTACAAAGATGCCCAGTGGGAGGGCACAGAGTTTGGTCCAGAGGACACGCGGGCTGACAGGCAGAGACAGGGAGGACGGCTGTCTCAGCTCCTGGCCGCACACTGGCTCATGGTCCCAGACCCAGTAAGAGCTGCCACACTGCACTTTGGTTCTGGAAGACACTTAGACTAAATGCTCCCTTCATTCTTAAATCGATGTATGCTTTTGCCACCTGCAATCAAAAGAGCAGATGACAAAACGAGAGTAAAAGCAGGACAGGAAAGGGAGACAGGGTGCTGGACAGACACATCTCAGTGGCACGCAGGCAGCTCACAGTCTAGGGTGGTACCTGGGCGGATGCAGAGGACATGGCAGCCCCGGGGGTCCGTGTGGGGCAGCACGGTGAGGAACCCAGATGCCAGGACATCTCTCAAGGCCGACGGCCTCAGGTTATGGAAGACCTCAGGCCAGCTTCTCCTGCAGCTGTGGTAGTTGACCAGGAGCTGCAGGGCCCGGTCGTAATCGAACTTGCGGGCTCGGAGGAAGCGCAGCAGGAAGGCATCGTCCAGGGAGGTGCCCAGGTTGGGGCACTCTTTTCGCACCATGTCACGAAGGGCCTGCACATCCCGCAGCCTCCATTCTGGCTTCTCCTGCAGTTCTTCCCGGGCTTTGGTGACCAGCTCCTCTGTCAGCGTGCACACGTAGCCAGGGGGCTCGGGTGGCGGCAGCAGCTCATTTTCCGAAAGTGAGGCCGCAGAAGGGCTGGTTCGCAGAGAGTCACTTTCTTCTGACATTAGCCACCAGGATCCCTGCCAGCACAGAACCCCGGAGCAAAGTTAAAAAAGCTTAACCTTGCTCACTTCAAACCCTACAGCCCCACGAATGCAGGAACAGGGACATTACTGTCAAAGTCAAGTAACCTCAGAGCAGTGGTTTTCAACCAGGGGAATGAACTGGATCTGAACCACATGCCTAGGGCCACCCTCTGCATAACTGCAGCTACTGGGTCGTCAGGAGAATAACCATGAATTTTTGCATAGGAAACAGGAAAATACGCCATGACTTTCCCAATAACCTAACAGAATCCCCTCGAAGGCACCCAGGCAGCTGCAGCCTTGCTTATAAAAGTATAAATAGGTGCTTGATCTTACTGGCCATTAAATAAATATGAATTAAAACAATGCAGAGATTGAGCCAGGCAAACATAGGTATTCTGATATGCTGGCTGCCGGTGGGAGTGTAAATTGACACAGCCTCTTTGAAGAATGGTCAATATCTATCAAAATGTAAAACCACATACTCTTTGGCACAGGGGTTCTATTTCTAGGACATACACTTGTATGAATGTGCAAAATATGCACATGACCTTCAGAAGTACTGGTTAAAGTAATGGTGAAGATTGAAAACATCGTACTTGCGCATCAGGAGAGACTGGTTAAATAATATTATCATAAAAACGGGGCAGAGGGGTGTGCACTAGCCAGTCATGAAAAGGAATTATAGACAGCTCTGTAAGAATTGACATAATAAGGGGGAAAAAACAGGCTGCAGAAGAGTGTGCAGGAAACAGGTTTATGTTTTTTTAAAAAAATATATATGTATATACATATATATACACACACACACATACTTGTATACTTGTGAATGCACACATTTCTGGAAGGAGATATAACAATGTTTTCATGTTATCAATGGTTCTCTCTCTGGAACAGAACTGGACAACTGGACATTTAAGATGAGAGACTTTTTTTTTTTTCCTCGAGGTTTTTGCCACAGGGCATGTGCATTGGCTAGAGAGAGGCAGTAAGAAGGAAAGTGAGAAATCACGCCCGGGAGGATGGCTATGCCATGATTCCATCTTTATTCTCCTAGGATTTTGGGCATGCATGCACACGTGCCTAGCATGAGTTTCAAGCCATGAGGTCCGGGACATGAACCACGTAGTTGGCCACTTGGGAGTCCAGCACCTTAACCACCACACTGCTGGCCCCTATTGTACATTTAATGTTTTATTGTGTACAAATGGAACTTATCATGGCGGTCATGCAAATGGCCAGCAGATCTGCTGGAGAGACATAAGTGAAAACGGCCCCAGCTGCAGGGCCTCTGGATCTACCATCCAGTGGAGACTACGACTGCGTGGGCCACTCCAAGCCAATGGCATGAGGACTCCCTGTTGGCCTGGCCCGCTCTTGGGACTGCATCACAGTCAGACTTCCCACACAGACTTCCTTCACAGGGGCCAGACCCGCATTGCATCATGTCCAGATTCTTTCCCTGACACTCCCCTTTCATCTTCACAGGCGTTGCTGCCAATAAATATCTTGCACATCTAATCTCATGTTAGTGTCTGCTTCTTAGAAGACCTGAACTAACACGTACTGAATGGAAAACAAAAACAAGACAGCTGCCTCAGATGCCCTGGGCAGACAATGGCAGAACTGCCCGGTTCCAAAACTCAAACTCTTGCCCACGTGCTGTCATGGGTCCTTCACTTCGAGCTCAACAAGGAAAGCAGGGACCATCTCCGTGTCCCTGCACATACCTTTGATGTCCGGTGCACCTAGCTGGACTCCCCCAGGCCACCACAGACAGAGCGCCAAGTCCCTCCTCCCAGCCTCAGGTCTGTCTGCTCCATTCCTCATACTTCAACCTCCAGCTCCTCCTCCTCTACTTCCTAGCAAAGTGTGTGCACATCGTGTTTCCTCCAATGAGCATGCCCTTCCTCAGTCCTTCACCCAGCTACCACCAACCCACTCATAGGTCTAATTACGTGCCACTTCAGTCATTCAACAAGTATGGAGCCCTTATGATGGACCTGGCCCTCTTCCAAGTACTGAGGACACAGAAGCGAACAAACAGAACCCTGCCATCGTGAACTGAGAGTCTAGTGGAGGAGGCAGGCTTTCAGCATAAAGAACTCTACACAGTCATGGGCCACACAAGTGCACATTCAACGGTGGCCCATAGGAGCAATAGCTTGCAGGCTGTACCATCTAGCCCAAGTGGACAATAGGCCCATGTTTGTACACTCTGATGTGCGCACAATGACACAATCACCTGCCGATGCATTCTCAGAAGGCATCCCTGTTGTTAAGTGACTCATGACTATAGTCTGCTACCAGGTGATATGTGTTGTAGACAGAAACAAAACAGAATGGGACTGGAAACACCTGGAGATAGGAAGTGCAGTTTTAAATAGAGTGCTCATGGCCCAGTCATGGTGGGATAGTGCTAACACAGAACTCTGCAATGCCGGAGTCATTTGGAGGATCAAGGTTTGGTTCCCTGGTCAACCTGTACACACTGGGTCTGCGAATGTACCCACAATCCTGGCTGCTGGGGCTGGCTAAGGGGAGGATTGTGATGTGAGAAACTGCTGAGGCTACCTGTCTTTTTTCTTTTTTTCTCTCAAGAAATAAACTTTGAATAAATGGATAATGTGGCCAGGGAAAGCCTTGCTCAGGAGATATCTGGACAAAGACAGAGGAGGTGAGGGAGTAAGATAGGCCTATCTGGGAGGTAAGAACAAATGCAGGGAACCAGCAGTTAGCGTAATGGCTATGTCGCTGGACTCCCACGTAGTCAACCGCGGTTCAAGTCCCGGACCCGGTGGCTTAGAACTCACGCCAGGCGCATGTGCATGCGTGCCCAAGATCCCGAGAGGAGAATGGAGGAGAAGGGATTGCAGCGTGACCATCCCCCCTGGGGGGTGATTTCTCACTTTCTGTCTCTCTGTCTCTCTCTGTCTGTCTGGCGAGCACACGTGCCCTATAGCAAAAACCTCTCCAAAAAAAAAAAGAACAAATGCAAAGCCTGAGGCAGAAACATGCCTGGCTTTCCAAGGAAGAGCAAGAAAGGAGGCCAGGGCACTCACAGTCAAATGAGCAAGGTGGAGAATATAGGCTGAGTATCCCTCATTGGAAATGCCTGCAACCAGAGGTTTTTTGAATTTTAGATGTTTTTGGATTTTGGAATATTTGCATGTACGTGAGGTATCTCGGCATGGGATCCAAGTCTAAACAGAAAACTCTCTTGTTTGATATATACAATACACACAGCCTGCAGGTAGTTTTGTACAATATTTTTGTATTGCAACATTTTGACTGCAACTCCATCACAGGTCAGGTATGGAATTTTCCACTTGTGATGTCATGTTGCTACTCAAACATTTTTGGATTTCATTGGGATTTTGGAATTAGGGTATGCTCAACTTGTTTTCTTTCTTTCTTTATTTTTTTTTGAGAGATTTTCACTGTAGGGCGCGTGCGCTCGCCAGACAACCGTCGACTACGTGGGAGTCCAGCGACATAGCCATTACGCTAACTGCTGGTTCCCGGGTATGCTCAACTTGTATCAGACAGATGTAGAGGGGTACTGGGGGGCCCCATGGCACTGGGAGCTTTCTGTACCAGGAAGCACTTTGACTTTTACTCTGAGTAAGGTGGGAGCCAGGGAGGGCTTTAAGAAGAGTGACATATGATCTGACTTCTATTTAAAAGGGTTGCTCTGCTGTCTTGAGAATGGACCATAAGGGGGTGAGGACAGAAGAAAAGCGACCATTTAGACTACCAGAATACTCCAGGTGAGAGATGAATGCCTGAGGAGGACTGCCTTTGCTGACCGCCAGGCCAGGGAGGTGCCTCCCCTTGTTGGCACAGCATTTCTCCTACTGGGTTGTGTTGTCCCTAAGTAGTTTGCAGGCAACACCGAGGTCCCTCTTGCTCATCACCTTAACCCAGCACCTCCCCTGGTATTAGATGCATAGTCTGCACTCCATAGATATTTGCTGAATGAGTCATCTTTAGGCAGAGGCACACTGAGCAAGGAATGGAACAACAATCATGGCTCTGTTTCCATGGATGTCACCAACAGGTGCTTATAATCCAGATCCTGTGTTTACTGGGAGGAGACTGCAGTGTCTGTAGGCCGCAGACTTTACCCCAAGGCCCCTCTTCAGTCCCACCTGCCACCTATTGCCCGCCAGCCATAACAAACTAATGACCCACCACCGTTCCTGAAACACCCATGCACTTCTGACACCTGCCTAGAATTTCCTGTTTATTTCCAATCAGACAACTCATTACCTTTGAGGTTCAGCTACAATGTCACCTCCTCTGTGAAGCTTTCCTTGACTACCCAAGGGTGATTCCTTCTGTTTTCTATAGCACTGGGCTCCTATTTCTGTTTCAGGAACTGCAGTTGGTGCCATGGGTGTTTACATGAAATACGTATCGTATCATTTACTGATCACCTACCAAATGTGTCAGGCTCTGTGCTCATAGCCGCTGTGCAATTCTTTGCCTAATGAAACTTACATCACAGTGGAATGGTGAAGAAATCATCCATACTGGAGCATGTTCCCGCCCATCAAGGCCGGTGCTGAGCATTTTACATTTCATCTATCCTTCACAATGTTTAAAAAGAAATGGCTGTTGATCTGAAATTCAACTTTAAACCAATGTCCCATGGAGACATGGGACAAATATAACCTTCACTGTTGCTGCCCCCATTTTACAGGGGAGGAAACTGCCCCCTAGAAGGTAAATTCCAGAAGGCAGATAACTTGCCTGCCTGGTTCCTGCTACCCGACACAGCTCACTAAATACTAGTGCAGACGCGGTCACTGCTGTGCCAGGGGTACACACCCAGTACACCTCTGGCTCCTACGCCACCCTCCACCTGGGGCTTCACGGTTAACCTCAGGGCTGTCACAAGAGCCACGGGAGTGAGTGATGGCGGACACACGGGCGGATGCGAACACCCCTGTTAGGATGAACCTGGCACTCTCCCCCACCTGGAGCCCATCATTGTGTGGAGCTTCACCCTCTTCCCCACCCCACCCTACCCCACGCACCCCAAACCAATGAGAGGTCAGGAACCCTAGGGACCCCACATCCCACTGACAACCTTCTGAGGCCCCCACTTCCGGTTGTCACCCCCTCCCCAGGTGTCCCCATTTCCTGGGGTCTTTCGCTTCTCCGGTCCCCACTTCCGGTTATCCCTCCCTCTCGGAGGCCCCTCTCCTAGGCCCCGAAGGCACACGGACAAGCTCGCGGGCACTCACCGACCCGGCTACGGGGCGGAGCGCGGGTCAATCGGCGGCGGAAGCCTCGTCCGGCAGCGCGCACAGAAACGACCCGCACTCCCCGCCCGGCCGGGCCGGCCCCTCGCGCCGGAAGTGACGTTCAGGGCGTGGGAAGGCGGGATGCCGCCTGTGAGTGCGCATGTGCGAGGTCCCGCCGCAATGCCGGCGTTCTGTCGCCACCTGGTGGCGGAGACTCCACGCTGTGGGACCCGGACTGGCCGAGAGGGACCGAGCGCCAGCAGCGCGACAGTCTGGTTTCCAGATGCCGGAAGCTGGGCCCGCAGAAGGAGGGGAAGAACTGCTGTTTCCCGAACGTTCTCCCCTGTGCCTGGTGTTCTACATCCGTCATCGGTAAATCCTATTTGTGTGAGTCCTGATTCCGTTAGTTGGGAAACCAGCCGTCATTGCATTTCATAATTCCTCCCGCCACAGCAGCCAGAAGGACCAGCTGCTGCGAGGGGGAGGACCAAACCCGGGACATCTGCAAGTCCCTCACCTCCTTGGGCCTCAGCTTCCTCATCTGGAACTTGATTCTTGCTCTGGATCCTTTCTTGTTTCCTGCTTTGAGGTTTTTGAAGTTCCCTCCAGACATGGGTAGATTGAACATGGCTTTACTAGTGCCCACTCCCAGTCCACTAGCACCCCCACCCGCCCCCCAATGTATATTTTTAACTTAGAGACCTAGGTCTCTTTCTCCTGGGTAGAGATGCTAAACCCTGTCTGAGAGATTCTGATGGTCCAGGAGAATTCTGAGCCCAAAGGGATAACCTTAATGGACCTCTTCTTCTCCCTACCCCAGGAACTAGAGTTCCAGAGAGTAGGAAGTGACTCATGAGGGCCACAAGAACCCACAGTTTCTGCCAGATACCGTAGTGTGTTTGTGCGTAGAGGTGAGAGTGGAGGTGGCCTGGGAATCTTGAATTATGATTCCTGCTCTAAGCTCCACTACTTCTGGGGTTGTCAGATAAAATATGGGACATTCATTTATTGGATTATTTTTAAAAACAATTGTTTCATTTTATTTATTGTTATTAATATTTTGTAATTCACCAGAGAGAGACAGAGCAAGATAGGGCAAATGAGAAAGCAAGCTGCTGGTTCTGGACTTGAACTGTGGTTGGCGATGTGGGAATCCAGTGTCTCAACCACCATGCCATCTGCTGGCTCCATGGGACATTCATAAACCATTTTTTAAAAATATGTCTCATGGAACATTTGGGATGTAGTTATATTTAAACATGTTTTTGTTTATTATAAATTCAAATTTAACTGTGTATCCCATTTGGTTTTTCTAAATCTGTGTATTGGTTTCCAATTGCTGCTATAAGAAATTACTATAATATGTTTGCTGACTTGAAATGACACAATCTTTTTCTCTTATGGTTCTTCAGGTAAGAAGTCTAAAATCAAAGTGTTGGGAACCAGCAGTTAGCATAATGGATATGTCTCTGGACTCCCAAGTAGTGGACCAAGGTTCGCGTCCCGGACCCGGTGGCTTAAAACTCACGCGGGGCACGTGTGCGTGCGTGCCCAAGATCCCGAGAGGAGAATGGAGGAGAAGGGATTGCGGCGTGACCATCACCCCTGGGGGGGTGAGTTCTCGCTTTCTGTCTCTATGTTTCTCTCTGTCTGGCGAGCGCACGCGCCCAATAGCGAAAACCTTTAAAAAAAAAAAAAAGTCTAAAATCAAAGTTTTGACAAGGCTGGATTCTCTGGGACTGCTGAGGCCAATTCTTTTCCTTTATTTATTTTTTTGGCCCTTTTCAGCTTCTAAAGGCCACCTGCATTGCTTGGCTCATGGCCCCCTCTGCCGATCACCTCAACGTCTTGTTTCTATTGTCACATCTACTACTAACTCTGATATTCTCGCCTACCTCTTATGAGGGCTCTGGTGATTCCATGGTTCCCATCCAGGTAATCCCAGGTAACCTCTCTGCCTCAAAATCCTTAACTTCATCACATCTACAAAATCCCTTTACCATGTTTGGTGCAATAGACCCAGGTCCCAGAGATCAGCATGACAAAGTCTTGGAGTGAGAGTGGGGTGGGCATTATTTAGTTCACACCTCTAGCAACCCTAATCCCGGCTGCATGCCGAGTCAAATTTCCAAAACCTCAGTTCCTTGTGGACAAAAAGCTGATTAAATCAACTCATAAAAAGGAACACTTGTCCCCATGCCAGGCAAGGAGTTAGTGCTTAATAGATGGCAGCTCCTGTGGCAAAGAGTTGGGGTGGTCCTGTCCAAACCATGCTGTCCTAGGTATTGGGATAAGTCCCTCTCCTCAATCTGGCTCCAGGGCCTGGTGACATAACACAGCCCAGGTTGCAATTCTTGATGCTGTAGTAGGGGAAGAAGGATTTGGGCTCAAGGGCAGGGCAGGACAGGGCTGGGAGGGGATTTAGAGGCCCCATCTCTCAATCAAAGGCCACTGTTTCTTGTACCTCTTGGTGTTACATTTTAGGGAATCGAGTTATCTCAGGATTAGGAGGGCCACAGATAAACAACAGCAGAAACAGTGCGGTTACGGCGTGGTACACCACACGCTGGGCTGTCTGCTCTCAATGACGCCTTCTGGCAAGTCCAGAAGAGTAAGCTAGAGGGGTTCCTGTACAGAGAGGAAACTCAGCTCTGAAAAGAGAAGGCTACTGGGCCAAGGGCTCAAGCTACGCAGCGAAAGAGCCGGGTTTGAACTTGCATTGTGTGACACCATGTCCCCAATTTTACTTTGCCTCAGAGTCTTTGAGACTTGCCTGTTTGTTTTTACAGGCTGGAAACAGATTCAGGGAAGGACAAGAAAAGGTGCGCCTTCACATGATGACCAAGTGGCTGAGCTGGGATTTAAACCCCAGTTGTCTGCAGTAGCAGACAACCCCTTGAAAAGACCCATTTCTTCATGTGTGTAATGGGAATGTGCCCACCTTTAGGGTGCCCTTGGAGGATTCAATGACTGGCATAGGTAGGGTTCTGGAACATCATACCCTAAAATATCTTGTTTTTGGTGGTGAGCAGCCAAGCCCGAAACAGAAAGCTCACGAGAGGGCGGCTTGCCCTGCCTCTAGTTTGAAAGCCTCCAAACATCTTGTTCTCTTAGCTTCATCTAGTATCTGAAGAAATACGTCTTTTTTTTTTTTTAAGAATTATTTAATTTTATTTATCATCATCATTATTATTATTATTAAATCTGCTGTAGGGCACATGCACTCACCTGAAAGAGCCAGAGAGAGGGAGAGAGAGGGAAAGTGAGAAAGTAAGCCATAGGTCTTCAACTCGAACCATATCCGGCCATGTGGGAATCCAGTGTGGTTAAGACTAACCACCATGCAACCTGCTGGCTCAAGAAAGACATTTTGACGTTGGGTAAAGGCCAGAGGAGGCTAGAAATGCCCAAGCCATCTCTGAAGCCATATGATTGTGAGCTCTGATCATTTTCTAGAACTGTCTTGAGTATGGGTTCTAAGGTAAGGCCTATTTAAGAGACACCATGGTTTAAGACAGATTCTCAGCCTTGGCACTGTGGCCATCTGGGGCTGGACAGGTCTTTGTTGGGAGGAGGGGAGAACAGTGTCCTGGATATTGTAGGGACATGCCAGGGCATCTCTAGCCTCCACCCCCTAGATGCCGGGGGCACCCCACATTCACAGTGACAGACAGAAGTCTCTCCGGACATTGTCAGGTACACGCTGGGAGACTCACTTGCCCCCAGCTGAAAACCACTGGTTCAGGAGAAAGAGAGTTGGCTTCTAGTGAAATGGCCGAGTCTCACTCGTCTCTAGGTCATGAACTAGCCGTGCCACACTGGAGAACTTATTTACAGCTCTAACCCATGGTTTTCTCAGCCATAAAATTCTTTACCAACACCTGTCAATTCCTGGACCCTTGGGCATTGGCAGGGCGATGAGTTGTTTGCATGGAACTCTCAGAATGACAGAATCCTGAGACAACACCGACGAGTGGAAGCAGGAAGGCAGGGAGCCAGACAAGGAGGAGTCGCCATTAGGTGTCTTTTCTGAATCAAGCAGGAAAGCGGGAGCTCTGACCTGCGCTTTTCCTCCGCTGTGTGACGGGCAGATCCCCTCCCTGGGGCTCAGGTCCGTATCTATCAAACTGACAGCGGCTGGGGAATCCTGGGAAGATGGAGGCAGTGATGCTCAGCCTGGATTTGCGTCTTCCCAAATCCCCATTTAAAAACACAAACACACGCGGAGTGCGTGTGCGTGCTTGCCCATAAATCTGAGAGGAGAATGGAGGAGAAGGGATTGCAGTGTGGCTGTCCCCCTGCGGGTGATTTCTCACTTTGTCTCTTTGTCTGTCTCTATCTCCAGGGAGCACATGTGCCTGTAGCAAAATTTAAAAATGAAAATACAAACGTAAACAAGGCCAGGTGGCACGGAGGTCAGGGTGGCTGGATGGCTGGGTCCCAGGTGGCAGACTGCACAGTTCGAGTTCCAGACGCAGTGACTTGAAAAACATGCCAGGTGCATGGGCATGCATGCCCCAAATCCCAAGAGGAGGTGGAATAGAAGGGATTGTAGTGTGGCTATCCTCCCTGGGGGATGATTTCTCACTTCTCCTCTCTGTCTCTCCGGGGAGCACATGTGCCATATAGCAAAAGTTTCAAACAAAGAAAAATGGAAACTAAAACAAATGGAATTTAAAAGCAAATAAAACATATTGTAATCAACAAATAGTGACTTGAAAGACTAGAAAGTGGAACGGGGAAACATTTTAAAAATTAAACCAAGGGGCCATCCTTGTAGGACGCCAGTTAAACCTTGTGCTAAGAAAGTCGGCTCCCACGTGGCTGACTGCAGTTCAAATTCCAGCCCTGACTGCTTGAAAACCATGCTGGGCACGTGCTCATGCCCCAGATCTAGACAGGATGGAGAAATGGAAGAGAAGGGGTTGTTGTGTTATCACGCCCCATTGGGGGGGATGACTTCTCCCACTCTCTCTGTTTCTCTGTCTCTGTCTCTCGTTATCTCTCTGGTGAGTACACAACCCCTGGTAATTAAAAGCCAGTCAGGTTAGTGGTTGCTTTGTGGGAAAGGGGCTATGATTGGGATGGAACATGTGGAAGAGTTCCT